CCCAATTACACTTGCATGATGTGTGGCTGCAGCTCCGTCCACGAGAGATGGAGTACACCTACATCTCACACAACTCCTCGTCCAGGCTCGATCGGCTGTATGTAAGTGCTGGTCTGCGAGAACAGCTGAGATCGACAGCTGTCCATGTGTGTTGCTTCTCGGACCACAAAGCCGTCACTGCGAGAATTTGCCTCCCTCTCCCCGACAGAGCGCACGGTCGTGGTTTCTGGTCTCTCCGTCCCCATCTCCTAACAGCAGAAAATATCGACGAGTTCCAAATACGGTGGCAATACTGGACTCGTCAACGCCGGTATTACCCGTCGTGGATGGAATGGTGGTTGTCGTGCGCAAAGCCGAAAATAAAATCTTTCTTCCGATGGAAATCGAAACTCGCATACGACGGTTTCAACCACGAACAGCAGCGTCTCTTCGATTTACTGCGAAATGCGTACGACAACTACCAAAACAACCGTTCCACGCTCACCACCATCAACCGAATAAAGGCTGAAATGCTTTTACATCAGCGGCGATTTTCCGAAATGTTCGTTCGGATAAACGAGACGTACGTTGCTGGTGAGCCTCTATCAACCTTTCAACTGGGTGAGCGAACCCGACGAAGAACCACCATCGAGCGTCTGAGGAACGAGAGAGATGAGATAATCGACGATTCAACTGCTATTCGGGATCATATGGTCCAATATTTCACCAACCTGTACGCTCGTGGGAACGTAGATGAAGAAGAAGAATGCGGCCCTTTCCACTGTGGGAGAGCTATCCCCGAACAAGATGCCGTGAATGAAGCCACCATGAACGAAATAACAACGACTGAAATCCTTTCTGCCATCCGGACAAGTGCATCCAAAAAATCACCGGGCCCCGACGGGCTACCTAAAGAGTTTTATTTGCGAACATTCGACGTGATTCACCGTGAGCTGAATCTGGTCTTGAATGATGCCATCAGATCAAACTTTCCAGCGCAATTTGTCGATGGGGTGATTGTTTTAGTGAAAAAACGTGGTACTGGGGAAAGTGCACGCTCATACAGGCCAATCAGCCTGGTCAATGTGGACTATAAAATTCTTTCGCGAATCCTTAAGCAACGGCTTGAAAATGTGCTACGTACCCACGGTGTATTAACTGACTCTCAAAAGTGCTCAAATTATGGAAGAAATATATTTCAAGCCACACTCGCAGTGAAGGACAGAATCGCACAGTTAAAAGCAAACAGACAGAGAGGGAAATTGGTCTCTTTCGATCTCGACCATGCGTTTGACCGTGTCGACCAAAGTTTTTTGTTCAAAACAATGCGAGGTCTGGGCTTCAACACGGCATTTGTGGACTTACTTTCCCAAATAGCAGTGGCTTCCTCGTCTCGCCTACTGATCAATGGACACCTCTCTGCTTCCTTCCCGATACAGCGATCGGTGCGCCAAGGGGATCCTCTTTCGATGCACTTATTTGTGATTTATTTGCACCCTCTCTTGCGGCGCTTGGAGCAAGTTTGTGGGACAGATCTGATCGTCGCATACGCAGATGATATCAGTGCTATCGTAACCGGTGCCCAGCAGTTGGATGCAATGCGAGATTTGTTCAGGCGCTTTGAACGAATAGCCGGAGCACGCCTGAATGAAACCAAAACAACGGCAATTGACGTCGGCCAAATCAATAACCCTGTGACTGTGCCCTGGCTTCGAACTGAAACCACAATCAAAATTCTTGGTGTAGTTTTCGCTAATCCAGTTCGATTAATGGTTAAGCTGAACTGGGACGCACTCGTGACAAACTTTGCTCGGCAAATATGGCTACACTCGCTGCGCAGTTTGTCGTTACACCAGAAAGTGACACTCTTGAACACCTTCCTGTCGTCGAAAATGTGGTATATGGCGGCAAATTTACACCCGACGGCAGCACACGTGGCGAAACTGACAACCAACATGCGGAAATATCTTTTCCGTGGAATATGTGCATCCGTACCCATGCAGCAGCTGGCACGCAGACGGGAGGATGGTGGCCTCAACCTACATCTTCCAGCAATGAAATGCAAGGCGCTGCTCATCAATCGGCATTTACACGAGATCGTTTCCCTTCCTTATTACAATTCCCTTCTCATCCAAGTAAATCCACCACAACCAAATTCCCTTACAGATCTTCCCTGCCTAAAGCTAATCCTAAACAATTATTCAAACTTCCCTTTCCAAATACGCCAACACCCTTCCGCCGATCTCATCCATCGCTTCTTCGTAGAACGCACCGACAAACCGAAAGTGGAAACAACAAACCCCGAGATCAACTGGCCCCGAGTGTGGAAAAATATCGCTGCCCGTGGTCTGCTACCTACGCAGCGCAGCTATCTATACTTGTGGGTAAACCAAAAAATCTCTCACCGACGGCTGCTGTTTACGATAAGGCGTGCGGATGGTGAACAATGCATACACTGTGCTGTGCAAACCGTTGAAACCATTCAACACAAATTTTTTGGCTGCCCTAGAGTACGGGCTGCTTACGATGTACTTCAACAAAGGCTGTTGGTTGTGACTGGCAGTCGACGCTCTCTTCGTTTCGATGATCTCCTTCGGCCCTCACTGGAGGGGATTGCAGCGTATAACAGAACACGGATATTGAAATTGTTATTTGTTTATATCACCTTCATTGATAACAGTAATGGCAGGATAGATATTGATGCATTAAAATTTAATTTTGAAGTCGAGGTTTATTAATTATGTGAATAATTTTTACTAAACATACAAACGACAAATAAACGTACTTTTATAAAAAAAAAAAAAAAAAAAAAAAAAAAGCTATAGGTTACGTGCTGTTACGTGCATGCAAAGAAAACCAAGGCATTGTATGTACTTGTGAAACGGGAACCTTATTTGTACGATGGTGCAAACATTATCACGCATACGGTACGTGAGATCTATTCTCGAATATTGTAGTGTGGTTTGGGCTCTATACCATGAAACTTATATAAATCGTATAGAATCAGTTCAAAAACAGTTTTTGTTATTTGCTCTTGGGAAACTATGCTGGACCTCTTTTCCCCTTCTCTTATGAATCCCGTTGCATGTCGATAAACATTGAAACAATTAAGAAACGAAGAAAAATTTCCATGATTTCCTTTGTTAATGATCTTATCTCACAACGCGTAAATTCAGAATAATATTAGCAAACTTAAATTTTTACGTACCATCACGCATGATAAGAACTCGACACAACTGTCGCCTCACAGAACGAATTATGGTAAAAATGGACCAATCAATAGAATGATGAGAGTGTATAATAATTATTGTGAGAGTATAGTTCCAACTATGTCTAAAGATACAGTAAGGAGAACACTCTCATCTCGTTAAGTTTCAAAAAAAAATTTATTTGCTAGATATTTGTATGTGTAGTCTATATTGATTGACATTTTCAAATAAAACGGTTGTTTTAAAATAGAATGTAAGGCAACAGCACTATTGTAAAACGGTCTTCACTGATTGACGACAAATAAACAAACAGTGGATGAAAATTCTTATTAAAATTAAAACGCGAAATGTATTCACGTGTATTAAACGGAAATCAAAATATGTCTCAAATAATAGGACTTGATGAAAGTAGGACTACATAAAATAAACATAAAATTGGCGTTAAACATTTTTGTTAGACGAATAATCAAGATCATAAATTTCAAATCCTGGTAATTTGGCAAATCTTGAAAAGGTTTTGAGGGAGGCAGAGCTGGGACTCACCAAAATCTTATCCATTATTAGAGGGGTTGAACAAATTTAAAAGCCATTATGTAATTATTACATGGCCCCTAATTTAATCAAAACAACGCACAATGGGGAAAAAAGACGAAAAACAACATTTTGTTTTGTAGCATTTCCAAAACTTGCTGAAACAAAAATATGGTTCATAAAATTTCTATAGGTAAACATGCGGAATCGAATGGAAATGGATTCATCCTGCACACTTAGTTTTTTCTACCAAGCTCGGCTGTGCAAATCTCGGCAAAAAAAGTTTCACTGAGATCTCAGCAAGCATTTCATTTGTTTGCTGAGATTCAGCTAAGCATTATCCGAGACTCAGCAATCAAATGTAAATTTTGCTGAGATCTCAGTGAAACTTTTTTTGCCGATATTTGCACAGCCGAGCTCGAAGAAAAAACTAAGTGTGTGGGGAGATTACTGGAAGTTAGTTTTTTTTTTTGCTTTTATGAACACACAAAATCGAAGACAACTTTTTATATTTTTTTAACATGGATTGAAAGTGACTTTTTTATTACTGTATTTTTTCTTCTTAAAGTTCGATTAAGCCCCTACAACTTCTTTTCGGACATTGTTTTTATAACATTAGCCGTTTTCAAGCTAAAATGTGTTTCAGCAAAAAAAATAAGCCAATATACCCTTTTAAAAACTTAATTTGGAAAAGTGGTTATCTTTTAATGAAAAATGTAATCTTAGGTAGCAACCAACCCATGTGCAATGTTTCATCTCAAATCGGAAAAGATCGTATCCGACCGTTTTGCTATTTGGCGTGGAACACTTATGCTTAGCATAGCAACCCAAATATGTTATTTCTATCAAGATTCGTTTCAAAGAAATCTTCATAACTTTGGTAGGTATATAACATATTTAACCGTTATGTACCTCGGGTACCCAGCTTTTAGCACGGTGTATAAAAAAGCAAAATAAATTCTCGCGCACATAAGGGTTACACATGTTAGAATAATTCAAGTAAGCATGTTTGAGAAACTCCCAAGTAACCATCAAGCCCGCCAATCGCCCTTTTTGCAATATAAAGCTGATATACCGCTGATAAAAAGTATGGAAACCCTATATTAACCTGGTATTGCACAAAGGGCGATTATCGGGCTATTAGCGGGTTTGGTGGTTACTTGGGCTATGCTCTACAAGCACACTTGATTAACTTGTTCCTTCTAGTTATAATACTAAAATAAAATGCCTATATCTATTTTTCCTTAAATGAATTCCATTTCTTCACTACTTTTTTTTCAGGCAGCTGACTGACAACCAGATCTACACGATAGAAAAAGATGCACTAATCGATCTTTTATCTCTGGAGCGATTGTAAGTACTGGACTTTCCATAGCAAAATACCACTGACACGTGCTTACACTCACAGTTTCTCGATAATGATGAATTTCGGGTGCAATATGCAAAATTGTTTACTCCTTAACATTTCATTCACATTCAGTTTCTTTTAAATTTTGGATCAGCATCAGGAATTCAACATTAAAACCTTTGTTTACTTCATCACACTCACAATCACACTGTTTCCTCATCAGTACATCTGCTTCCAATTTCCTACCACTCTATCATGTGTACGAAACACACAATGACGAAAACAGTTGGCGCACAACGAACCGTCAATTTCCCTAATTGTTCGATAAAATCACTATCGTAAAATCGATTTTATTAATCTATCACACTTCTCGCCATTTTTGCTGCCTACGTTCCGTTTTCCGCTGTTATATGTATATGCTTTTCGTATTGTGTTTTATGCCAATCGGTGAAGTTCTGTTTCAGGCTCCATTCCTCCACTGACTGACCCAACCACCCAACCCATAACACCCCCCCTCCCCCTCCTCCCTGGATTCGGGCAATAATGAAATGTTTGATTTTATTTCGGTGTGTTATTTTATAATTGCTCTCTTCCCATTTTTCTCGCCTCACGCGCTCTTATTTCTTCTTTTTTTCAGACGACTTAATAGCAATCGCTTAAAATCAATACCAGATAATTTTTTATCAAGCGCTGCTAATTTATTACGATTGTAAGTAGTAGGATGTATGAAATGATTTATGATTTGATATCGTTTCTGTCGCTTCGCCCTGTGGCTACTCCATTGCAGACTGCCGCCCGTACCCTGCCATTACAGCGGGGATGGTGGTGGCCGCGTTCTTGAATATGGCCTTTGGCGATTTTATCGGTTTTATAGTTTAATTAATTTGCACCCATTGCTTCTGCCTGCTCTTTTTGGTACTAACTGAATGCTTTGATTTATCGGTATGAAATTCTAGAATTCCTTTCGGTTCTGTTTAGCATGCATATGAACAGAATTTTCTTTATATCAAAGTGAAAAGTAAGTAGTTTACTTGAAGATCAGTTGACTAATATAGGCTTTCAATAAAACACAAATCGATTCACAACCATCAGAAACATACTAAACAATGATAAATTTTCTAAATCTGTTTGTGGACAATCTTGAAATACCCAAAAAGGTAGCCACATCCAACAAACACAGTTTACACGACATGGAGTAGCCACCCAGTGGAAGAAGAATAAATTATGATTGTCCATCCATCCAATAATATTTGTCCATCTTAAAACAAACCGTTTCTATCCTCTTCATCCCATCATTGCAGAGACCTGTCCCACAATGCCCTCGCGGCAGTTCCAAAGCGTGCTTTCAAAGGCGCCACTTCACTGCGGAGCTTGCAACTGGATAATAACCAAATCACTTGTCTGGATGAACACGCTATCAAAGGACTAGCGGAGCTGGAGATATTGTAAGTGCTAAACCAACTCTCCCAATCCAGTTCCCAGTATTGATTTCAGTCCATTGACCTTACCCTTTCAATCAATTCCCTCTCCGGCACAGGACGCTCAATAACAACAACATCACAACCCTGCCGCGTGACATGTTCTCCGGAATGTCCCGGCTACGGGCGCTGCGCCTCTCGGAGAACCCATTCGCGTGTGATTGTCATCTGTCGTGGTTGGCACGGTATCTGAAGAACGCACCACGCCTGGCACCGTACACACGATGCCACTCGCCCAGTCAGCTCAAGGGCCAAAACGTGGCCGATTTGCACGAACAGGAGTTCAAGTGTTCAGGTAAGTAGACACTGTGCATAGAGATCCAGTTATCTTATCGGGTGATTTGAGTGTGACATGACTTATCAAATTTAGGGGTTGATGTAATCCACAAGTCACAAAATAAGGTTCAATAGAACGGAGGTGAATTGATCAGCCAGCGGTGTGATATTCTTCGTTGTCTCTCGCTTTGAACTTCCACTTTACGGTGAATCAATTAATGTTAAGAGAAGTGTGCCAGTTATGGCACTAGTACTCCCCTAATTGGCGATACGGCCAAGCTCATGTTCAAAATAATGTTTTACTATTTTTTACCGTAGGCCTACAGCACAGTATTGAGAATATCTTCTTGTGGAAGAAATTTTGGTTTATATGAAAAATTCAAGGTTTAAGCCTTATGGCAAATTTGAGGACCGCTAGTGCCATAACTGAAGTATACCCTACACACTTAGAAAAAATCATGTAAATTTAGGTGCTCTGAGACTGACATATACGAGCGTCAATTTTGACATAAAATTATGTCATGATAGACACGAAATTCAGCTCAATCAAACGTACACACTTACAAATAACTATTTTTACACGAGACGTAATCCATCTTTGACGTAAATTATGGAACGTAAACAAACATGTCATGTAAAATTAAATGTTCCCAAACCAAAACATACGCAACTCGACGAAAAGTACGATTGATTGAATTTATTTTCTCGTTTCTTTCAACTGATTCTTGTGTCATTTGGGCCGCTTGCATGTGTCGGTCTCAGGGCACCGAAATTTACATGACTTTTTGGTAGTGTGTACGTTTCGTCGAGTAACAAACTTTTCAGTCTCGGAGCACTTAATTTTACATGACATATTTGTTTACGTGTCATCCTTTATGTCAAAGATGGATTCCGTCACATGTAAAATTAGGATTTTCGAAGTGTGTAGATCAAACTGATCAAATCTCCAACTTTATTTGATGTTTTAGGGGAAACGCATATGTAATCTCGTATTTTTTGTAAATAATATTAGTCAGGGACCAAGAAGATAGATTAGCATACACACTTAGAAATAACTACTTTTACACGAGACGTAATCCATATTGAACGTAAATCACGGAACGTAAACCATCTGTTCCCAATGTTTGTCGGTCGAATATGTCCCACGGTACGATTTCTTCGAGCAAATCACAACGACGGTATTTGTGTTGTAACGTAGTTTTAGCTGTAAGTTTATTTTTACGTTAGTTTTAGAGTAGTTCATCAGATTTAGTTTTACTTACAAAAATCGGTGTGCATGTGTAGTTTTAAGGACAATTCATTTGTACTAGACAATACTTTTCACTTTTTCCTGCATGATTAAGGTAAGTTAGGTTAGGTTCAAACAATTTAGATTAACAACTTACAATTTGCATGAATTTGTATAAAACTTTAGGTAGGAACAACTAATTTCAATAATAGGTTTAGCGGTATGATTATTAGCTGTAAGGAATATTTTAATGTAATTTTAAGCAAATTTAATCCATTTTTATTAATTTTTCACCTTCTGATAGCACGTTTAATAGATTGACTTCAATAGAATGATCTACAATAAACGAGACAATGTAGATCTTCACACTCTATCTCCCTCCTCTCTTTCGGTTCTGTCACTGTGACAGTTTCGTTGACAGTTCACCCGAGCCGCTACTGTACCGTCACAAGCAGTGTTCCCAGTGTCAACACCATCATTTCAAGTAATATTAAGTGTTATCAAACCGAAACATACGCAAGTCGACAAAGAGAACGTTTGATTGAATTGATTTTCTTCAAAGTGTTTTTTTTTTTTTATGTTACTTCAAACGCGAAGTTAGCGATTTTCAGAGTTGGTTGGAAATGCTAACATGAAGCTTTAGTGTGATAATTTATTAGCTAGAGAATGATCTTTTTGAAGAGGGTAGGTGGATAGTTCCGTTAGAGTACGGGAGTATGAAAATTGAATAGAAGTTGAAAATGAGCGAAGGGCCATTAATGCGACAGTTTTTAAAGATAGACGCACACCTTTTGCCTAACCCGTACGATGTACGCGAAGATTTGAAGTATGTCTTCAAATCTACAGGCAAAAGTGTGCACCCGCCTTTGCTCATTACTGTCTGCGACTGTGAAATAGTTCTAGCGACGTTTCATCACTAACCTAAAGACCCACGTTGCCGAAAGCATTTCCAGTCGAGGTGTGTTATAATGCAATTCTTCTTTACCCAACTATTGTGTTGCTCCTCTCGTCATGACCAACTTGGTCATCTCAGAGAGAAGGCAGTAGGGTGGTTGTTGCGTGCTGTACCATCATCAGCATTGTTGACGGTTACTCCCGCCTTGAGTTGTTACAATCAAAGTGTTTTTTTTTTTATGTTACTTCATACGCGAAGTTAGCGATTTTCAGAGTTGGTTGGAAATGCTAACATGAAGCTTTAGTGTGATAATTTATTAGCTAGAGAATGATCTTTTTGAAGAGATTTTCTTGTTTCTTTCAACTGATGCTTATATCAAAAAGGCCGCTCACATGTGTCGGTCTCAGCGAACCGAAATTTACATGGCATTTTCGTAGTGTGTAGGGAAAATCCACAAATGACGTAGTATTTGAGGGGGAGGAAGTTTTGACCGGCCATGTATAAGGTAGAGCGTAGAAGCAACCTTGGAAACCTCGTCGAGTAACGTGACGCGTGCCAAAAAAAATTGAGCCTGAAGACACACCAAAGGTGTAAAAAGACTCAAAAGGTACGCGGTACATATTGAGTTATCATAGAGTCAATCAAAGAAATATATACAAGTGTTCTTCCATGGGAGTGGCTGGGAATCTGGATATATTTTTATCCAGTGTCCAGATATATTTATCAAAATGTTCAATTATAACCTTTTATAGAACAATCCATAAAGGATTCAGGTTTCTCCTAAAATTCCGACTAAAAAAAATTTGATCTTTTTTCATCTTAAAAATCTCCCAAGGCAGGTTTACAAAAAAATTCGGAAATCGACTTTCATCAAGCCATTTAGCATCAACATTTGATGAATTTTTGATAATCGATTTTTTTTATTCCAAATTAATTAAAAATACATGGAACGTCGAGATCAAGGGCAATCTGTAAAATAGTATATGAAAAATATATTAAAAATTATGTCTTTCTGGGATTAATTTTCTCTTTTTTTTGTGATATTCCGGAAAAAATTGTATTGAAATCAAGTTTACACTAGATCTCGACGTTTTGCATTTTTAATTGGCATCACAATTTTTCCGCAGGAAGACGATTAAAATAAATAGTTTCTGGTTAATACTGGACGACGACGTTTCATGCATTTTTAAGTAATTTGGAATAACAAAAAAAATCTTCTTTTTTTTTATTTTTCAGACAAAAAAAAGTTTAAATTATGACGATTTTGCGCCTTTTCAAATTATGTCCGGTTGAGCCCTAATTTTGCATAGGGTCTTTTTTCGAGGCAACCAACTTTTTTTATATGGTCAGTTTGAAAAATTCGGTTCTTTTTTTCATAAACTTTATTTGCACCCTAATGTGTACATCATCAGTCAAATTCAAAATATTTTTCTATGTAGAAAATAGTCAAAACTGCCACTAAGTCAATTTTCAGTTTCAACCTCCAATTTAACCACAAGAGCACTTCCCACTCGAGTAATAAAATGTGATGCTGAAGTACAAAGGTAATGTGACAAACTTTACATTTTCAAAAAATAGTGATATCCAATATACAAAGAGTGCTGCAAACTCCTATGAAGCTTAAAATATCTTGGTTTAGAATGTAATGTCGGCCTAAATGTCCCTAATTTGAGCCCATACATAAATTCAGTAATCGACTAAATTTTCAATAGCGACCAAAAATATCCATAACGCGTTCATCTAGATAGAATTGATGAATAGCAGATTTTTAGCGATGGGCCCAATCTTAGATCCATTGGCCAACATTAGAGCCATTTCCCCTATTAGATGGCATATTTATTTTTTCAATATATTTTTCTATGTCCTTTCTTATTTATTTGTTGACAACACACCACCATGGAACACGATGAATCACGTTTCCTTCTCGATTCAAAAACTTCCCAGCGCTAATCAGCCAAAAGCAGCTGAAAACGATCAAAACGAACAAACGCACAAAACAGAGAGCTCACTTAAAACAGAACCGTATCCGATGGGTTTTGAAACTCGAATCCTGTTTAACCAAATTGATAGCTGCGCACAAAATTGCTTATACTCATCTAATCCTCTATACTCACTTACTTAATGAAAACTTACCGTTTCAAAATAAGTTAGAATTTACAATGCTATTTTTGTGATTAATAGCTATTTTTGACGTGTTTAGACTATTCTTGAAATTTCAAGGCCATTTTGTCTTTATCAACCCAGTCATTTTGAATTTTTGGACCATTTTAGGTGATTTTAGGATCATAATTACTATTCCAGATTAGTATAGCAGTTATCAGGCCGTTTTAGTAATTTCAAGGCCGCTTAAGACCATCTTAGTGTTGTAGGTAAAGCCATTTATGTAGCTGGAAGCCACACACTACGAAAAAGTCATATAAATTTCGGATCTCTGAGACCGACACATGCAAGCGGCCCTTTTGACATAAGAATCAGTTGAAAAGGACGGGAAAATCAATTCAATCAAACGCACTTTTCGTCGAGTTGCATATGTTTCAGTTTCAGGACACTTAATTTTACATGCCATGTTTGTTTACGTTCGATGATTTACGTCGAAGCTGAATTACGTCTCGTGTAAAAATAATAATTTCTAAGTGTGTACAATTACTTATGTTCCTTACACACAAAAATTGTTCGCTGATTGCCAAATTGAGGAGCTCGAAAAATAAATTAAGCCCATCCTGTTATGCCAATGAGCGCAGGAGTCTACTTTACGAAATGGGCAATATGCATTTTTTTTTAATAATTGCGGCATTATCAGTTTAACGAACTTTTCTATTTGGTTTTAACACAATTTTGTCATGCTCATGCATTTTATTTTCATGCGTTTCGATGACTTCAGTGTCTTCAGATCATT